GGTCCTTTCCATATAGCTTTTAGAGCCTCATTTATATCCACATGCTCTCTGATCACCTCAAAAAACACACTTGAGAAAGAAATACCATCTCGAGAGGGGTACCATCTCGAGAGGGGATTAGTTGATTTTTCGACCCCAACATTGCGCGGCACTCTTATGAGAATCATCTTTGATGATTGATAACATATGCTATGTATGCATTTCCAAGCCCAGACTTAAAATCCCAATAAGTGTCTAATTAATAAATTACCAATAATCTTCCCCACTTGTGAACTTCCATTCTATCATGGTTAATAGGGCATTTTTTTTTTATTATTGTTTTAATACCATGCCCAATATATAGGGAGTTTTTTTTTTTTTTTTGGTTGTTTTAATACCATGCCCAATATTCCTTATGTGATCCTCCTCTGCATCATCCTTTCATGAAAGCAGTGATTTGAAACATGGGGATCCGAATCAAGAATCATTGATCTAGACTATTGATTGTTTAGGACTAGACCCCTCAACCCCTAGTTTACCTCCTCCTCCTTTTTTATTTTTTTATTTTTTTTCTTTTACTTTTTGTCATTCGTTATTTCTTACGACTTTTTCAACCCTAAAATCCCCTTCTTCAATTTTTTTTTAGATCACTGATCTATCTTATCTAGGTCGATAATCAAGCCGATCCTAGATCGGAAATCCAACCAATCTTAAATCTAAAATCCAGCCAATCCAGATTGACGATCCAGCGGATTTGGATTGGGACCAAGGCATGGATTCTGTGTTTTAACACATTGCATGAAACGAAAAAACCAAAAAAAATCGAGGCTTTCACACAATTGCATCCATGATAGCATTCCATCTAATGTCATTTCATGATTAAGTATATTCAAATATTATAAAATGTTCATTTACTAAATGAAAAGTTTAAAAAAGACATCAAGCTTATACTCTAAAAGTAAGGCGCACCTCAAAAAAGTTTGTTCTAATATTGGAAAACCCCTGAACTGATAATCTGATATTGAAAAGAAAAAAGGATCCAAGTCCTAAGAAGAATGCACCTTATTATACATCATCCAGACCGTTCATTTCAAAAGATTTCAAGTGTTTGAAGATCTGTTCAATTGAACTATTTATTAGTGTATAAAATTTCATAATTAAGGGTCTTTTGACTAGGTTTTTGATACCAGAAATTCATCTTCTAGTAGGGTTTGGAGGTGCACTTAATTGATTGTTTAAGGTTGACACCTTATATTAAATTGTACTTATGGAGAACACGCAGAAATCGAAAACCAAGTCCCAATTAGAAGTACTAAAATGCTTGCAAACGTCGACGAATAATTACGAAGAACAATTTGTTTGTCTCTTTTATAATACTTGTTTCCACACGTGATACAACCTGGAATACTGTTCTCAAGTACCTAGATAAGAGAGATGTTTAGAATTTACAAGAGGAACTACATAAAGGCAAATTAGTTATTGAATCTGTCCTTTTATGCCTTTTATTTATTTTTTAAGTTATTTTATTCACTTCGAGGCATAAGTAGTAACGTCTAGAGTTTTTATGTCTCTTTATTCATTTTATGTTGTTCATAATAAATTACCATGATTAGATTAGATTGATGACCAGGATTATTGTTTAGGGTTTTATGATATAAAAGATGTATTCAAGTATAATAAATCAACTTGTTGTGGACTTGTATTTGAAACCCTAGAGCAGTAAGTACTCATTCCTTTATCTTTAGTTTTTTAATCTTTCTCTAATTTTGGATCTTCCCTATTTTCTTTGCTAAACTCTATTTCCAAGCTACAAGGTTTGCGCCAAATTGGTATCAGACCTCGACGATCTATACAGATAGTACTGTAGCACGTTATTGTAGCCGATATTATAGCATGCTACTATAGCACCATAATGTAACATCAATTTTTGTGCCCTAGATCAACAGCCATGCCTCCATGCAAAGGAAAAGGAGGATAAGTCAAAACATTACAAGCACTTGATGTTAGTTCGTGAGAAGGGATTGCAGACCTAGCTCTACATTTGGCATAGATTGAAGCCTCATCTCAAGAATATGAGAATGAGGCAGCTGAGGAATCCATAAATCCCTTCCATTGATTTATGAGAATGATTGCATTAGGAGTGATATTATGGGAGGTTTGGAAGGAAAGAAATAGGAAGACCTTTGAAGGGATTGCTATTCCTTTTGATAAACTCATCCAGACCATTAAAAGTTCTATATGGTCATGGTTGTCAGTTAATAAAGAGAGATGGGGTATTTCTAAGGTGGATGTGGTGGCAACATTAGACCAAGATATATTTGGATAGCGCCGTGTCTAGGAAGTTTAAAGCTTAACTTTGATGGTAGTTCCTTAGGCAACCTAGGTCTGGCAAGAATTGGAGGTGTGATGCGAGATTGCTATGGTAATATTCTGCTTTCCTATGCTGGTCCGATAGGTTCTACTATGGCAAATTTTGTAGAAATGAGTGTGTTGCTATGTGGTTTGAAGATTTTCATTAGAAGGAATATGAGATGTAGTTGTACGATTGAAGGGGATTCCTTTAATGTTATCATGTGGTGCAATAAGGAACATAGAGTCCCTTGGGAACTTCGGTCCATATGGTTGCAAATGATGGATTTGGCAACTATTGTTTCGGTCTCCTTTTCTCATATTTATCGAGAAGCCAATTCAGTAGCTGATTTGTTAGCTAAGGGTGGGGCGTCTATCCCTTTTTTTATTGTCTCTGATGATGTAATTTCTTTTTCATAGTTATCAATAAAAGCAGTACTTTTGGTAAAAAAAAAAAAATCCTTTCCATGATCTAGCTCTACGTTTAGAGTAGATTGAAGCTTCATCTCAGGAGTATGAGAATGAGCCAGATGAGGAATCCATAAATCATTTCCATGATCAAGCTCCAAGAAGAGAGGTAGCTAATCATATGGATAGGGATAGTAGTAGGTTGGAAACCAGTCTCAAGGTTGAGATCCCAAAGTGTATGGAACTCTATCCAAGGACAAGCATGGAGAAACTTTATTCTCATCAAATAGTTCTAAAAATCATCATTAGTCTTTGACAAGTACTTGGATGAATATTTTGGTGTTGAGAAAGAAGTTGGTGATCATAGCTCTAATGGTGATCGCATTCATAAAGAGGATAAAAAGAAGATCCTACAGCTAGAAAGGATTTTGTACATACTCCGACTCTTGATGAAGAATAGAGTGGATGTCAAAGAGTTGTTCCCAACGTATTGAAGGTAATTGGTTTCTTAGTCCCCAGAAAAAGTAGCGAGGAGAATTGGCGTTGACAGAGGTAATGATAATGATATTGTTTTTCTTCGAATTTTACCTGAATTTAGGGTGTCACATGATGTTCACACCAAAGGGTTCAAGGTATTTTGTCCTAAGCTCTTAGCTAGTGAGTTTAATATAGGAGATTCTCTCCAAAGGTATTTTGCTTTGATGGAAGAACCAAATATGTTCCGTATCATCCTCCCCAAAACGTAAACCTTAGAAGCCAAATATTTGCATGTCAATCTCAAAAAAATCAACAAGAGCAAGGCTTAAAGTTCAGAGTTTTCCTTGCAATTTAAGAGAAGTTTTCCTCATGTATGTTTATGATCGATGATGTTGCGCGCTTGCATCGCATCAATATTAGTTTTCAATTTGCACAAAACATGATGGATAAAATATATATGAGAGGCGCCATAACCTGGAAAAATATTGATCTCTAATTATTTTGAATTGTATACCTTTAAGGTTGAATTACAATGTTTCCAAGAGAAAAAAAATTCAGAGTTTTGATCTTCTCAGTATACTCTTACTGGTATACTCTAAAGTTATTTTGAATGGGTATCTCTGAAGACGTATGATCAGAAGTGATTCAAGACTCTTTTCCTCTTATGCTTCGTTATGATTCTGGACCAAGTTGTTCTAAATATCAATCATGAAATGTGGTGTGCAAGATTAATGACAATGCCTACAAATTGAAGCTTCCCAGCCATATTTAAACTTCCGATATTTTAATGTCAAGCATCTCATTTCATATCGTGGTAAAACCTCCGACAACGAGCTGTCAAATTCAAAAGCGAATTCTTTGGAGGAAGAGTGGATTAATACAGCCAAGAATACTGCTCGTGGTTACTATATAAGAGAAACAAACTTAAAGTTTACAAAATGAAGTGAAATCAGTAATTGAATACATTTTTGTCTTTTTATTTATTTATTTCTTGAATCAATTTATTCACTTAGGCATAAGCAATAATTTTCCTTAAATCTTGTCTTTGTATCCACTTAATGTCTTTTATATTAAATTGCCATGACTAAATTAGATGGATGGCCCAGATCAATATTTTGTTTATAAATTTTTTATATAAGAGATGTACTCAAATATGATAAATAATCATATTATGAACTTTTATTCAAAACCCTAGAGCACGAGTGCTCTTTTTATCTCTGGTTTTTTAATATTTCTCTATCTTTTTTGCTAAACCCTAAGCTCCAAGCTGCTACATTAGCTCCAATACCTTTCTTACGGCAACGGGCTGGATCTGCCTAGCCCAAGCTCGGCCCAAGTCCCTAAAGGATAGGTTTAGGTACCAAACCTATAATGGATTGAATGCCCGATGCCCAAGCCGGGCCGCAACGGTCATGTCCTAGGCCCAGACTGACCTTCGAGCAATGGTAGCCCGACCCTCGAGCTATATTTTGTAGCTAATCCCTAGTTGCTCAGATGCAGGCCAAGCTGCCCTGTCCATTGTTAGGCATACCTTTTCATTGACAAACTTAAAAACCATGAAAATAACGAATGAAATCAAAATCTCAAAACCTACACCCATCTTCTACTTTTATGGTTAAATATAATCCGTTGATACGATGTACTTGTATAAAGAAAGCGAAATCACGAAGAAGTGAAAGTTCAAACTCAATGGTCTGCACATAGAGAGAAAACCTGGCTAATGTAGGTGCCATAATATGATTAATAATAACACAAATAAAAGAAGTCTAACAGAAAGGGCCAAAAGATAGTAGGAAGAAAGTTGAACAGAATGGAATAAAAATGCCAAAGAAACCACATGTAACAAATATATATTCTGTAGTAAATTGGCAAAAGAAAAAACAAAACAGAAGGAAAGGAAAAAAAATGAAAATCAAAGCTAATTCAGTCCTGCTCACAATATGCGACTGAAGCACTAGAAAATAAAACATTTATTATCTCTACACAATAATAAAAGCTCTTATTCCGACACAGCCGCAAAAATGTTCAACGAGATATTGTGAATCTCTGAGAACGAGCTAGTGAACAAACAATGTCCTGGCAACAAATTGAGAGGCTGATTTCCTCAAAAAATCCAAGGGAAAAAACTACAACAGCATTGATACTGGATCCTCAATGTACCCTTTAAATGCCTTTAGCCACTCTGCACCAATGGCCCCTAGACAAAGACAATAGCAAGCTTCAGGCCTTGATGTTATGATTTATATTAGTATTACCAACATTATTGCATCAATACGACGGCTAGTACCACAGTATAGAGGATAACGATAAGCTTCAGAATGCCAACAAAGAGGCAATATTTCAGAGGTCCATCATTTCTGTTTTCCTTAGGCTGATCTTTTGATTATTATGGGTATGATTTCTTGGCATGAATACATACGAATACTTTCACTGTAAAATAAACACAATGGCCTACCATCAATCACGCGGTGATCACAGCTTAATGTGACAGACATGAAGGAGCCTATATCATATTGATCAGGCACTTGTCCAGGTATCACTCTCTTTTCAGCTGCCACAACAATCCAACACAAGTTATAGTTTAACATCAATAAAATCAACATAAGGGCATAAAATACATATAGGAATGGGCCGAGGCCGCAATAGTCAGGGTGGCTGAGCCACAATGTGACATGGTGGTTTCCATTCCTACCTATTATACCTATTGACATGTCAAAAAAAATAAAAATAAAAAAGGGTAGGGGCAGAAACATAAATGTCCAGATAAACCACCATTTCCAAATGGTCAAAGCCGAATTTATAAATGACCACTTTATGGCCCTGTGTGTTATGTGTGCATGTGTGTTGGTTAGCATGTGTAATCTGCCCCATGTATAGTTCCATTTAAGAGCATTCCCAAGGGGTACCTCATCTGTGAAAATGTTGTTTCCATGAGTATGGTGAATCTCTCTCTCTCTCTCTCTCTCTCTCTCTCTCTCTCTCACACACACACACACACACACACACGCACACACACACACACACATACACAGAGAAAATCAAAGGGGAGAAGATCACTTGAGAATAGATATGTTAAGTCCATGCATATAATAAAACAGAATTCAGATGCAAAGTCCAAGGGATCTGATGAATGTTATCTTACCAGATCCCACAGCCAAAATGCCAGCTTGGGGTGGATTGATGATAGCACAGAACTGTTTAATTCCGAAGGGCCCTCCTAAGTTTGACACAGTGAATGTGCCGCCCTGCATAACAACATTTTCAGTTATAACCATCTCACAAGTAACAATGCATTATATCAAGGTAATATTTTGATTAACAGCATTACCTCATAATCTACTGGCTTTAGATTGTTATCTTTCGCTTTTTGCGCCAAATGTTTCACATCTTCAGCTATTATAGATAGTCCCTTCTTGTCTGCATTCTGTGATTCATCAAAAACAAATGGGCCAGAACAAGAAAAACCATTTGAGAAAAGCCAATGACATTATAAGGAGAACTAAACTTAATAAAAGACATCATTGACACTGAAAATCACAGGCATATGGGTTAATGTAGCTTAAACTACAGCGACACTAGTCAATTTTAACCAGTGTTATAGAACACAGAATTGGGTTCTGGATCGACCATCTGGGGAACAGATTCGGAAGAGACAAATTGGAGAAACGAATCGTGTTCGTTGAAAGAAGAGACAGTTGGCATCTCCCCTGAAGCGATGGGAACAGCCTTTGGGCTTTTCTGTTACCGAATACATACGGTTAGGGCTACCCACCTCTTTGAGGTGGATCTTACCCAATTTTTTTAGATTAAAAAAAATAATAATAATTAAAAAATAGGTGGGAATCACTCACCAGTCCGAGTCAAACCAGGCGATTCCGGTTAGACCCAGCATTTGCTTATAACAAACACGAAAGAAGTTGTTATTTTGAAATAATTAAGGAGGTCACACTCTTAAAGAATCTTTGCAAAGAGAAATTTAGACGGCAGGCAATATTTAGAAAATAAGTGAGAAAAATCATGAGCATGGGAGAACCTAACTGTTGGGGTATGGTTCAGAAAAGTTTAACTCATTTATCAAAAAATACTATTGCAGGATTTTATACATTTCATTAAAAAGATCAGCATGACCAACCTTAATGACAGGAACATATAACCCATTGTCAGTCTGCACTGCAACCCCAACATGGACATCATGGTACCTGCACGTTGTTAAGAGCAATGACTAAAATTTCTTCTATAAGAGTAGAATAATAGTGAACACATATACATATAATTACTACGTACTGTCTTATGAACTCATTCATCCATGCACTGTTGCATTGAGGAACTTTACGAAGAGCGAGGGCAGCTGCCTGAGATTAAGCTTATGTCAAAACTAAATCAATATAGAAGGATAAAGATAACCAACTGATTAGCATAACATGAGAAAGATAAACAATACATGGAACAAAATGTGCATCAATCCTGCTCAAGGCACCAGCTCATTTATATTATTTTCTTATTGCCACTTTCAAAAAAGGGCCCACCTAGTACCTAAGCAGCTGCAGCACCTAGCTTAGGGGGCTGGACTGCCCTGCCTAGGCCGCATAGGCAGGGCTTCCTGAGTACCATGCCCCTGGGTAGGTCTCCAGGCAGCCCAAGTGGCGCCTAGTGCCTTAAGCCTGGGCGCCCGCCTAACCATGCCCATTGGCGGGTGCCTAGGCGGCCCCAAGCAACACCTAAACCTAGGTGCCCGTCTCGCTTGCCTCTTGTCCACCAGCCTAGACACAAATCTATGCATACATGTGTGTCTGGGGCACCTTTAAACCAAGGCAACCAGCCATCCACCCAGCACCGAGGTGCCCAGACCCCTCCTGGGCCAGCTTGCCTGCCCAGCAGTTGCTTTTTACAACATTGATTATTAGCTGTTATTGTTGTTCTTGATGGACAACAAATGTAAACTGCCAGTTTATTCACAATGCATGGGAAGAAAACGTCATAGTAGGATATCCGTTCCTTTTTTTTCTGCAGGGGGAGGGGGGGGGGGGTTTGCATCCCAAAGCAAGTGAAATTGAGACATAGCGACCCCATTCCCTTGAGAGAAAATCTTTTACATAATAATAGTTAATCTCTAAAGCTAAATGACAACGCTCCAGACCTATCCAATCACATTGGGTGAATAACTCCATGATTGCCAACCAGGCCTTTTGACTATTGGTGAGATACCAGGTTTGCAAGCAAAGATTGAGTGGAGGTTCAAACTTCCCTCGTGCAAACCAAGCTGACCTACCTAGAAACAACGAATCAAGCCATGATCATTGTGCCTCAGAGAACAATGAAAATAAAGCCTTTTAGACCCATCATGAGAGCTTTGGCTTGAAACTTTACTAAGTCACAGAACAGCTGACTCAGCAAAGTTACTCAAGATTCTGCCAGGGATATCTCTAATGAGACCTCTTACACCTGATGGAGCTGAATGCCTTTTCAAGCAACTATAAAAATCTTAGGGACACATGGTTTGACCTCCTGCACTGCTTGCTTTGGACAACAGGATATTGCTTCAAGGAACTATTGTCCACTCTTGAATTGGGTCCTCCATGCTGAAGCCAAGACACTACTCTAGTCTTGGTAAACAGAATCATGTGTACCAACATTTCCAGTCCTCATATAACTCTAAAATAAACCACAGAAAATCCCATTATTTCTCTCTTTCAAGATACCTCAAAAGATTCCTACAGGTCACACATCTTCCAAAGTAAATGATTCCTATCACAGCACAACATATTGCATTGCTGCTCCATTAGGGTAGCCACTGATCCTATCACCCATGACACGTACAACAGAATGCAAATCCTCCTGGAAATATGTTGTTTTACTTTGATGGAAGGAAAATAGAGAGATAGACTGAATGGGAAACCAGGGAGGCATGTCACAGGAGATTACCCATCAAAATATGAAGAAAACAAAAAGACATGCAAGATGAATTGCTCTTCACTAGCCCATGAAGCAGAGAAATTGGATTTTATAAGCATCTACATGTAAAATGCACTGTTTATTCACATGCATCCGAACTCTTCTTTACAGCCATCTTTTCTTTAATTGGAATAACGAGATCCAGTTTTTGTGGTTCAAAATAAAGATTTAAATTTTCATAATTGAATTTCCATTAACATCCGTCTACAAAATTGATAGTTGAATTTTGACATCTGGTAGAAGCCATTCTCACTCAAAATTTACATAAATGTTACATTTTTAACTTCATTTCAATTTTTCTTCTTAATCTACTTTAGGGCCAGTTTGGATGTCAAAGAAAAACATAATCACAAAGAAAAAATTGCAAGTTTTTTCCTCCTCAATTGAGAAACATTATGATCTTATTTTATTATGTTGGTAGACTGTTTGGATGTTTATTAAAATATGAGAAGAAAATGTGATTTGGGTCCGACACAATCTGAGAACACCAAAGAACAACTCATGCCATAACTTCCACACAAAGAGAAAGGTTTTTCTTCTGCAGTTATTTCATCTTGGTTTTCCTACTGATTAACCACTGCTATGTTGGCTTTCCTATTGACTAACCACTGCAAACATGAAAACGGCAAGCAACAAAAACCTGTGAAAAATATCTAATAAAAACTCAAAAAATGAATACAACAAAGGCTGCTATGTTGGCATTCCTATTGATTAACCATTGCAAACATGAAAACGGCAAGCAACAAAAACCTACAAAATAGTATCCAATAAAAACACAAAAAATTAATACAACAAAGGCATAAAGTTTGAGGATCTGCTGATGCCAAGCTACTAAAGCTCCAAAATGCCCCATTCTCGTAGAAGCTTCTATTTTGAGCAGAAAACCCAAGAATTCTGCCTAACCACTAATTCTCAACCAAAAAGCTGAAGACAACAACGTGCCACAAATGATCTTAAACACACCAGCGAAACAAGCTACTTGATTTGCAAAAGTTGCAGAAACTAGAGAACAAATTAGTGCACAGCCTGAAAGGGAGAGAGACTAGAGAGAGAGAGAGAGAGAGAGAGAGAGCCTGCATGTGGAAAGATCTTGATGAGGGAGACAGGCCTGCGTGTGGACGAGAGGCCTTGATGAGAGAGAGAGAGGCCTACGTGTGGAGGACAGACCTTGTTGATGAGAGAGAGAGACAGAGGCACGGGAGGGTAAAGTTTTCAAGACAAACACGACTAAAGCAAAAAAGATTTTGAGTCCCACTTGAATTTTTTTGACATGCTGTTTTGAGGGCAAAGTGATATCTTTTTGGATGAACTAGAAATCTTTATGAGGTTATCCAAATGGTTCTTACCTTCTATCTTAATCATTTTTTTCTTGGCATCTGAAATATTTCAAATTTGGGTACATCCAAACTGGCACTTAACTTTGTAAATGTTGGAAAAAATTTAAAATTTACTTCAATGTAGTATTGCTAAACCAGATGATATGGAGTAATAATGAAATTGTGAATTCTTTTCTATGAAATGTAAGCATCTCATAAAACCTCTAGATATTACAAGGAAACAGGTAGAAAGACGATTGTGAAGGGAATAAATCAACACCACAGACCTTTATTACGAAGTCATTGACAGAAATACGCTTCCCCCCAGAGCCTTCCTGCAAGGAATTAAGCTGGCCTCGCAATCTGTATGAGGCAAGAAAAGAATTTAAATCTCAATAAAAAAAATGTCATTAGCACTTGTTATGCATATGGTAACACTATGAAAAGCATCCAACACTCACTCCATAAGTTTGTCAACGCGTGTATCGACAGTTAAATAATAGTGAGGAATAGTTTGCTTTGATAGCAACAAGCGTGATGCAGTAACCTGTTTAAAGAAAGTATATCGAGGAAAAAACAAATTATAAAGCAGAAGCCGCTTGACCTTCAGAATAAACGACAGAACTAACAAAACTAGTGCGATCAAGAATACAAAATATCTCATCTGCGTGATAACTTAAAAAAGTGTGTGTAATATCCCTATCCACAAAATGGTTTTGGGGCCAGGCAGTATATATGTTTCAATCATCATTACCTTCCTTATCTGTGAAAGTGGAATATCTTCATACTCTAGTGTTTGAGATACTCTAGTATCCTTCACCTTGGACACAGGCGTAGGACCCTGCTTAGCTGCATAAAATAAATGAAACACCTTATAACATGATAAAGCACTATAAGTAAAGGAAAACTTTTATTAAAAGGAATAAAAATCTGATATGGAACCAAGTTCAGGTGCTTAGGCCACTCCAGCCTTTGGCACATACGAAGCATGCACAGAATTACAGATAAGGAGAATCAGAACTTGCAGGGCTATAGGCAACTACATTTTCATGCATTGATGATACTAAAGCATGAGTTATATAGGCATACTACATGTGTCTATGGGGGGGGAGGGAGGGAGGGAGGGAGGAGAGAGAGAGAGAGAGACTTGCAAGAATACAAATTATACATATGTTATAGCTGAATACAATGTATAAACAGTAGGGAAATCTAACAATGTGAAATTTACTTCTAGGTTCAAATACATACTTGCAAAAAACAGAGTCAGACTATACTTCCAATTAAGAATCACAATTTCAAAACAAAGGAACCCCAAAACCAGTATAAACTGGAGAAGAAAATTTTTATTGGTCATTGTCACAGCAGGTCGACCCATTTTACAACTGCTTCCAAAATGCCTTCTATTGAAAAGGAAATGGTACAAGAATAATGAAATCAGGAGGTAAAATTACAGTTAAAGTGCAGTATTTAAAGGACTCCTGCGGAAGCAGGGTGAAGGTGGTCAATCTAAAAGTTTGTTAAACCACATTAACTCCGTGTAACTTCAATCCACATAGGATGGTTCACACCTTATGATCTTAGACTAGGAACGCCTCTCATTAGTTGTATGATGTGCAAATGACAAGTTCAATTTTATGAACAATGCTAAAGGGTTTTCTTCTGCATGCCTTTCACTTGTACCATGTTTAAATTTGTTAACCAGGCATAATGACTTTGTGTTTGCAATAAATGCATTTTTTCATGTTCCATAGTGGTCCTTCCCAAATCCAGAGGTGGACATTTTGTTCCTTTTGTTTTTTGGTTTGTGGGGCATAGTTCAGCAGTACAATCAAACTTGGGACATAGCACTGTTGCAATCATCAACAACTAGCCAATCAAGCCCAAGCTGAATTCCGGCCCAAATGCTAGTTTTGGACCTTTCTCCATAATTTATGTCCCAGTTGTCCAATAATATGTACTGTAAGGGGCAAAAACATCAAAAAATGGACAAAACGAAAACTTATATTCAAACCTCTTACGATATGGGGAATAACCCCATATCTACTTCCAGTCATAAGGGTTTATTTTTGGGCCCCACAACCTATTATAGGTGGGTTCAATCCAAGATAAGTTATATCACAAGCATCAGGAGAAAGAATAGTATGGTTCAATATAGGTCACAATGCCTTTATTTAAACTTCTTTTGACCAGATAAGTCTGCATATGTTGAAAGAGATGACCAGCAGATCTATTAGGGCTGACAGATCAAGGTTTCAAAAAACGCTAGGCGGTCCCTAGGTGGCCAGCCAGGCACCCAACACCCTGCACCTAGGTGGGCGCAAAGAACCTAGGGTGCCCTGTAGTACAAATTCTTTAGATGTATACATATATGTGCTGTCTAAACACACATACATGCATATGTTTGTGTTGATTTTGTACTTTTTTGCATTTATATGTATTGTAACAAACTTTTTTTATACAAACATATCGCATGTTAAGAACAAACCTGTTCAAAACTTCAAATCACAGAAAATTTAGTGAAAAAAATTGAAAGAGATAAAAATCTAATAGTCTAGGATGCTTATGATGCTTGTTCAAATTTTTTTCGATTATGAGAAATAGGTATAGTTAATCGTTTTAGGGTTTATGGATTTTTTATTTTATTTTATTTTTTACTTTGGGGGGTAACCCCCATACTCATTTTAAGCATTTTTGGGGTCAAAATTACCTCATTTACCCTTAGGGGCTCTTCTTTAAAAATATAAAAGGGCCCAGGGGCCTGGGCACCTGCTCATAACTGGATGCTGAGCGCCTGCCTGGGCCGCCTAGGTAGTGGTGTGTGGCCTAAGGCCCCTTGGGCGCCGCGCTGGGCGGTCCTTTTTTTAAAACATTGTGACTGATGAACTTTATCTCCGGGAAGAGCAATAGACAAGATAGATGGTCTGGGATTTGAAACTTCCAAGCTGTGTTCAATTATGTTCATGGATGGTAAACTATGTGCAGAGATTCCACGCTTCTCATTCAATTTCGAAGTACTGCAAGGAAAAAGATCCTGGTGGCCATGTTCTTAAGGTTAGCATACAGAGAATTTCTTGTGCCTCCCCATTTACAACACAAACCTATGGTTAATCCTAGCATGTTTATATTACACGGAGGGGAGGAGCAATCAATGAGTCATCTATGGTTCAGCAAATTTTTAATGGATAATTTGGATGGTAATTGATCTCTTCAAATATGCCAGGTGATGCCAACCTTCTTTCTTAGTTTATTACAGGTATTGGTGGGTAAAGGCTAAACCAAGAGCAGATCCATACGAAAATGATTGTCCTTTCCTACAAAGTGTCTACATCTGGAATAAGAGGAAAATAGAGTTTTAGAGGAAACATGACAGAGCCTGGATATAATAGTATTGGAGTTCTTCTTCAGAGATCACTTCATGGGTGAATGGGAAAGATTAAAAGAAGGCCTCAAAATAGATGACCTAACAGCATCTAGGGCAGCTATAGGGAACCTGTGTTCACCAATATTAGCAGGTCCAATGCAATAAGGAATCGAAAGACCAGCCTTGTGTAATGTTGAAGCCCTAGGAACCAAAGATATTAATTGTGGTGGAGGAACAATACTACCATGGGTGGACTGCAGATCCCAACAAATGAGCTCACTGGACAAGGAGTCAAGGACTAATTGAGGGTGATTATCTTAGAGCATCCTTTTACATGGAAAAATAACAGGCCACGCCAAACCATTCTACTCGGAATAAGGGGGAAAGAGCTTTTTGAAGTTTGCCCTTATACCTAGGAAGTGGTGTTTTCCATATAAGGGGCTATATGTAGCTATTGGCTCCAGACAAATGTCCACATGGAAAGTCGTGCTATTTACAACTTATGCACACCCTAGGAATAGGCCATCAATCTGATCTTCAGGGGGGTAGGGCTCTCCTGTTCCTTGGAAACTTGGGAGACACGTGTAGCTATCAATCAGTGGTTGTCAAAGTCATAAAAAATGTAGTAAATAGTGAATATAGGGATACAAACAAGGTGGCTAACAACTGGCTAACATGGGTGTCATCAGGAATAGCATGGTATTTTGGGCAATATGCCATTGATCATCTGGGCACCCATTGCACATTTTTATTTGTTATTTTAATGATAGCATGTTAAGAAACAACAAACAAAAAATTAATTACTAATGCCCACTGAAAGAGCTTCAAAAGACCATCTAGACAAGCCAAACAACACACCAAGTAAAAGAACCAAGAAAAAAAGATCAATTTCAGGCTATCCACTAAAGAAGGCACAGCATAAGTACTAACCTAAGTAATCTTCAATGTCAGCCTTCACAATGCGCCCATCAGGACCTGTACCTTTGATGCTTGAAAGGGGCACCTGAAATTTTGCATACAGGTTGACTTGAAGACAAGATGAAGACATATATGTAAGAGGATAAAGGAAGAAATAAATTATATCTAGCTCTCCCTCAATTAAAAGTCATGGAAGAGTTTAGCAACCATAATTACTCACATTGTGATCTTCTGCCATCTTTCGTGCGAGGGGGCTTGAGAAAATGCGATCATCTGGTTGAGAAAGTCCATCTGTCTTTTTACTCTTTAATTCAGGAACACTAGAAGTCTGGGGAACATCTTCTTTAGGTGGGGCTTGTTCAGATGAACCACCAGAAGAAGGGGCAGCAGAAGCAGTGGAAGATGGACCTGTGTAATCTTTGAACTTGGCTATGTCATCCTCTTCTTCCACAGTTATTGCAATCACCTAAATAAGATCAACATTCAAAGAATTGAGAAAATATTCCAGCTGCAAAACAGAACACTTTCGTGTCAAGAAGGGTCATAGGAGTTCAGACCCCAGGCACCATTTGAATATCATCAATAAGCATGAACAGTCACTAGTGAAATGCAACTCTCCATGTTAAATAGCAAGATAAAATCTGCCTCCCAAAAAGCTTATATGTCAATCTATATTGAGATTTGGGCACCTATCTTGATGATTACAGCATTAACAACTGCAGCACACATCCCAGAGTCAAACCCCACCACTGACCTACACGATGCATATACAGAAACAAGCACATGATCACGCACACCTGCATACATTGACACATAAAGGCACCAAGCAACAACACACTAATACTTAAATTTCACTACATACAACTTAAAACAGATGTCTCTCCTCGCACTCTAATACAATACATTGAATTGCACATCTGTCCTGCAGCCATAGCATCTTTCCAGTTTTAAAGCTTGTAAAAAAAATGATATCTATGTGGGTAATGGATAAAAGAACACTTAATTCAGAAGGAATAACTAAAGTAAAAAAGAACACTAAAGATAAAAATACCAACATCCACATTTTAAAGGAATCGTGTCTTTTTTTCTTTAACAACCTAGTATGTGCACCTGAATCAAAGGTATGAGGAAAATCATCTCTAAAAATACGGGGCCATAATCAAAAAAAGAATTCGTTCACACAAAACCAAATGGATACCATCAAGATAGACAGAAAATGAATATTCCACCTTTCATTAGCTGGTCACATAGACCTTGAAAATGATTACTATCACCTGGAGACCAGATGATGCTGCAGCAAGGAAGCCCCTTCCTATCAAATGGCCCAGGAACAAACAACCTCATATGAAAGGCTACCATACAATGCCCACCAGAAAAGGCCCAAATAATTCACCGAGAGAGAACCCCTTGTATCTTGAAATCCAAGTCAAATACCAACCAAATCCTTGTAATCATAGCAATCAAGACTGGTACCTTTGGGTCGCAAGCAAACGAGTTTGATAAAAAACTGGTTAGAACCAAAGTTTGACCAGTTTTAGGTAGTTAGACTAACCGGTTTGATTAGTTAGACCAAATAAACAAAGATGGCAACCTTTTTGGTAACATGTTTTAGTTTTTTAAGCTATTATTCCTATTTATCTTATTATTTTACATCCATCCTGACCAGTTCAACCAGGTGGCCGGACCAGTTATGATTGGAGCAACCCCTCACTGGTCTGGTGGACGAGCCATTTGAAAAATTGAAAACTACATAAACTTTACCAACCGAAAAGACAGCCACCATAAAATTATAACAAAAAGCAAATACAATAATCATCATCCAAGCCTTATCCCAATTATTTGGGGTCAGCTACATAAATCTTGTTCCTCCATTCTTCTCTGTCAATGACCATACCCTCAATAAGAACAGAAGTCACTATATCTTTTCTCACTACTTCTTCCTTTTGGGCCTTCCTCTTGCCCTTTTAGAGGCTTACACTTTAACAAAAAGCAAAGATATGAAAATAAAAAATATATCCTCAATATTTTCAGTTTTCTGGAAAATTCTCTAATGTAGAAAGAAAACAAAGTAGTCGGAAACTGTGAAGCATTTTATGAAAAACCAGTGAAGCTCTGAAAGTTTTAGCGTCAACTTTAGAACTTATTAAAAGACACTGGATATGGAAAAAAAATAAACAATATTACAATGAAACTAGAATATAAAGAAAACAAAGGGACTAACAGAAGCACTAGGATTCCATCACAGCAGTAACTATTGAATCGTAAATTTCACTTCAAGGGACATCTCAATAGAAGTCATACGTGTCAAGAGAAAATTATAAAATCATAAACCCTAGCAAATTCTATGCCACAAAATCATTCAAAGTAATTGTATAGCCAGAATTATATGACTAAAGAAAAAATCGTAGGATGACATAAAAGCAAACTATTACCAAACCAACCACATTGTTAGATTATTACTACAGTCGCAACAGTTCAAAATATTTTACCGTTTCAAGTTCTAAATAAGTCAAGGCACTCAGAACGACGAAAATAGAAGAACCAAATATCAGTATTTATAGTCCGTATCAAAACTATTTAGAGTAAAAAAGTAAACAACAAAACAGTCAAGAAAAGAATTACGTGAAATGGAAACAGCAAACAACAAAGTGAAGTTAACCCCACGCTTCATATCCACTTCTAAGTCTCATTGATCATCATGAAAACACAGCAGGTCTGCTCTACTCATCCATTTAAGATTATGGTGTGAGTGTCTGACTATTTTCATAATTCATTACCAGATTTTCCTTTAATCGGGTTTGCAGGGTAGATGAGTGCACTGAGAGATTACTGTAATTTTGTCTTAGAAAACAATAAATTGTACAAATCATTGATTGAAACTTGCACAGGTAATTATTTTTATAAAAGCATTACAGAGCACAAAAGTAAATAGGATTGTAGAGTCAGGAGTATACCTCCCCAACTTTGATTTCCTTTGCTCCATCCCCCTGTACTATCTTCGCTAGATAGCCTTCTTCCATGCATTCCATCTCAACTGTAGCTTTATCCTATTGGAAGATACATGAATAGTAAACACAATATTATGGCATGAGAGAGTAGAAGGTTCTATTTCAAAAACGTTATGGTAAATAGTGCTTACTGTCTCAACTTCACATAGAACTTCGCCAGGTGAGACCTTATCCCCCTCCTTTTTCAGCCACCTCGCAATGTTACCCTGTATATACAGAAACATTAATCAAGGAGTAAGAACTACAAAGTTGTCTGAAAATTGACAGATATACACATCTTCAAGACAGCAGTATCAAAACCATAATCTTCTGACTGGAATCAAGCTCATTACCAATTTAGCTCCAACTTCTAGATCAACAAAAGGAACTGAACAGAGCTTAAGCCAATGATATAAAAGCTGGAAAAGAGATGGAACCGCAGAAGGGATCGGTCCAGTCCAATCCAGCTCAATCAGCTCACATGGTTGTAAATAAATAAAGACAATTTCTAAATAACAGGCAAATTTTCTAGTTCAACTAACTGGTTCACAAGTTCAACCAGGTCTCTTCGAAAGACCAGTTTTTTATCACAGGATAACTTTTCCAGCACCTTCCTGGCTCAACCACTTGAACTGGGCAGTCCACTCCAGTTTTCAGTATATTGCTTCAAACTGACAGATCTAAATGGCCCATATCCTTGTGACAACATTTGCTATGGTGACAAAAAGCCTTACAAGAAAAATGATTTGATAAGAAGAAACACTTCCGGAATAAAGAAAAAGGAACAACAAAGGACAAGGTAACTAGAAGATATTTCTTTTAACAATCCACAAAACTTTTAATTAATAATCCGCATTTTAAGAACTAGGCTATTCTTTCACAAAGTGATGACAGATGAAATCAATTTTTAAGTGTCAGAGTTCATTCACTACATTTTCATTTCAGACTAAACTAGAACCTCCACCAAAAGGCGTGCATCACGAAATCGCTAAGATAAGAAAGCCAAGCATACCTCGGTCATTGTGGGAGAGAGAGACGGCATTCCTATTTCTTGGTGCAGAGGAAGCCCTGAAATCACATTTGTGTAGTTTCTTATAAACATGTAGAGATGCATATGTTAGCCAGAAACGCACGTAGAACATCAGCTTCCAAAATTTTGACACACATGTAATAGAGTCGCTAAAGAAGTTCTACTCAATCTTGCTACATTGCCAAGTGTATGCCTAGAATTATTCCTACTGAAGTTGACGCTCATAAAAAAAAGGATCTAATATGGTCATAACAAGCCAGAATATCAGCTATCACTATAAACACTGTTCAATACAACTAATTGAATATTAATACGTTTATGATAAACATTAATGGAAAATTTATTACATGAGTAGGAGTCCTTTAAAATGCAGATACAATGAGAGTATCATGGGAAAAAGAAGACAATGAACCTGCTAAAGAGCAGCTAACAACAAGAACAGAACTTACTGATCCTAAATGATTTTTATAAACGTTGAACACTGGAAACTTTTTGATAAAAAAAAGAACTGAAAGTCCCACACATCACATTCATGCCAGAAACAACAAAAAAAAAAGATGGGAAATTTTGGTCGGCAAGAAACACCATACCCGAGTCAGTTGCAAATCCTCTTTTTGCAGGGATCAGTGAACTGAAACAGAAGAATACCAAGTTTAGGTAGTTTATATAAAAATGATAATTCAAACTAGATACTAGTGTTTGAGTTTATGAACGGAGAGTGAAGAATTCCGCAACGAACCCAGCAAAGGTGTTGGTAAATCTCTTGCTCTTAGTGCAAGAGGTATAATATATGGCTGCCATATGTGAACCCATTTGAGTCACACTTTGTGAAAAAATTTCCTTGCATTTTGCAAGCTGAGAAACCTGAAAAGAATGCTGGACATATTTAGGAGCAAGTAAACATTCCATACTACCAGAATATTTATGAATCAAAAGAGAGCTACTGCCTAGAATCAATGAAACCTATAGTCTTCTTCCGTATTCATTAATTTCCAGTCAATGCTTTCTTTCTCTGCCTAGCCTGATTTTCTGATAAGTAACATCAAAATTGCAGATAAGATGGCTGCTAATGACAAAAGTAATAAATGGAGATAAAGTAAAAACAAAAAAGGGACACTAGAAAGTAAAAAAAAGGAAGCAAGGTTCTATTGCCTCAGTTGAATCAAAAGCTCTGGATCCATCGCTAAGGTGGAAGCTGTGCGTTGATGTCAGCGAGTCTCCAATGGGGGAGACAACATATCTGGCTTTCTTTTCTGGGGCCAAACCATGTCCATGTCCTCTTAGAAGACCTGCAAGATATTCCAATAAACAAGAAAATCATAGAAGAAAACCCGAGACAGATTATAATTCACATGCAAAGAACTGCTTGATTGATTATTGATGGCCTGATACTTTCCTGTATCATCATGTCAAGGAGATTTTGATATAATCAGGTGTCCAATGAAAAACTTGATATAAACAACTATTAGCAAATTAGTCACAATGCAGCAGCCAAATCCAACTTTAGAAGCCCCATGGCATTGTTATTCATAACAAAGTTTATACATCTAATTGCAAACAAAAGTGTAGACAGACAAAGATGTAGAAGTATACATTGCTTTTTGTGAAACAGAAACTATGAAGAGATGAAAACTCAAAAGGAACAAAGTAAATGATTTAGAAGGTTAAAATCAATAAACAAGAAGAGAGCTTCCAATAGAAAGGCTTGATAGCCCCCTCTCCAAATATAATGAAAAGGTGCCAAAGCGACTTTGGGACTCACATGACTTTTAAGAGTTGGCTGGTCAAATCATGAATCTTTCCCATGTATTTTCACTGTTAGAAAAATGCAATGTGATCACACCAAGTTGACTCAAAGATTCATCTGAATTTCCATAATTCCATCCCTAGTTCTTAAACAATGATTAGTTTATGACATGACGGAGATGAGATCTAATATGATGGCATACAAACTAGTAAATAAACTGATTACCATACGTTATACCTAGATTTCCATACTAAAACAGAACTAACTAGATATATAATTTGTCTAGAACAAGGGTGCCAACATGAGTAGAAGTTAAAGTTGACTGGTGAATGATAATGAGTGAGAGAGGTAGAGGCAGACAAGCAGGAGAACAATAATATTTAGAAAGATCCAAAGTATGAAACAGCAAGGGAGAGAGTTTCAAGAATTAATGAGATGAAGATTGTGTTTGAAGTAGCAGAGGGGGAGAGCCAGCACAAATACAAAATTCCTGCAACTACTAAAATCATAGACATTTAGCTCAAGTCGAATGACAATCATTTTGTGACAAATATTTCTAAATTTAATCAACTATAATCATTGTTGACAGACTCATGGCTAATATTCAAGATTCACTTGATGGGTGCAGCTTATGCTCTAGCCAAGTTTTTAAGACTCAACTAAGACTTACCAAGTTCCACCAGTGCAATACACACACACACACACAGCTGTGCTAAAGCTTAAGAGTTTTACAACTACAATGCTGGAACATGGTCTTCTTTTTTCTTTTTTTTTCCTGGTTGATCCATGTCAGAGTTTACTCACTCGAGGACATGCATGGCAATCAGCCCTAAAGCTAAACTTCCGGCATAGTCATTGAAACTCAAAGCATTGTTGCTTTTGTTAGTCAGTAGAACACCAAATGTTATATGACACAACCAGTTGATTGTTAGCCAGTGGAGCACCAAGTGTGCTCCAACCTATCGATGGTTACAATTTTTTTACTAATCCTCATCTTGTCGACTATGCATACTCAATCTAATCAAATGAAATAAGTGTCAGTAAGTTAGCCACAACCAGTTGATTGAGCCAGTCAGAACAGCGCCAAATGTTATATGGCACTAGCATTCAATTATCAAGCCAAGTTTTTTCTTTTTTTTTCTGAGTTTCTTTTTTTTTTTTTCTTTTATAGAGATACACAGCGATCAATTATCCAGAATAAAAAGGAAGAGAGAGACCCAGTCTCCATATCCAAACCCTGAGAGTCCCAATTCTCCCAATGTGAATCTCAACCACTCAAAAGTCAAACTTTAGAATGAAAAACTCAAATTCTCCATTCATCAGCCGATGTAGGTATCCTAAAATCTTGGTTCAGCAACATCAATGGGAATCGGCACCTTTTCGTATTTAAAAATCAATTTCAAATGGCAACACAATCATCCTCTTACTAGTCCTCTTACCAGTAACTTTTGAAGATCAAATCATCAAAAAACACCATTTAATGAAAAAACATAAAAGAAAATATAGAGGGCGAAACAATGGCATAGGAATATATATACATAGAGAGAGAAAGTAACAGGGTCCTGTTACTTCCGAAAGGTCGCATCAGAGATTAACATACATCCTCAGCAAACCTCTAGGGTAATAGTTAACATAAGGGCAAAAATAATCCTATCATAATTCATAAACCCCAGAAAAAATTCATAAAACTCATAAATGCTAATCACGTTCTCTCCCATTTTTTCTTCAAACCCAGAGCTCAAAAGACGAACCATAGCCAGTACAAATGGAAACCCACATCTAAAAAGACCCAAACAACAAAACCCAAATCGAGTTTCCAAGAATTTCGAGAAGAGATCTGACATAAAAAAAAAGAGAAAACAGAGAGAGGGAGAAAATGGAATCCATCGAATTACCAACAGAGTTGGAGATGCGACTAAATTGGTTCCTGCGACTGGCCAATGGCCGAGCCAACTTGGCAGCAATCATTCTCTCTCTAAAACTGAACTCTTCCCTCGCTTCTTCGTCGTTCCTTCAAGCTCTTTTGGCAACAAACCAACAGCCCCTCTCTCTTTCAGATATTTAACAAGAACTGAAATTTACGTGCCACCTCGTGCGCTGAGGGCAATATGAAGAAAGGTATTCAAAAAATTTAGGGAAAATTTTAGACGCCCCCAATTTCTACTTTTCCACATCCCACCATACTTTTTAGGAGAAAGCTTTTATTCTTTCCATCCTGTATAAAAGTTGCATACTTCCTATCATCTAGCATTCTAATTTACGTCAAGTGAGTCACAAACCGTTTCATTTATGATTTAGAGTATTTCATTTTTAGAGAACAAAAATGAGTTATAATAAGGGTCTGTATGAAAAGAGATGCAATCTCGAGCTCAAGATTCAAGCCCATGGCCAACATCAAGGTTTAAAAAATGGATTGGTGACTCGGATCACTTATGTGGAAAACCGGTTCGAATCGATGAATCGGTTGGAAATGGCCTTTATTAAAAATTTCTTAAAATTTAACTTGCTAGTTTGCAAAAAGAAAAAAAGAGTTGTATTGTACTATAATTTTTTATTATTTTAGTAAAAATAAATAAACTGATTTGTTTTTTGAGAGAGAGAGAAATTACATGTTTAGTTGACATTGTTTACTTTATTTAGAACCTAGACTCTAGAGGTGCGAAAGACAGCAATTAAGTTGAGTCCCACATGGGGCATTTGTTGTAGCTTCTGGTAGGCCAAGAGCTATAAAAGAGAGGCATGGGATTACAGTCACGACCTCACCAGATAGTTTGGCTGATGCTCCTGGGGTCCCTTACAAGGAGATGTAGGGCCAGGTGAATAAAAATAAAAAAAAAAAAAGATAGAAAATAATGGGTAATAATAAAAGCTAGGAAATAAACAATAGAAAAAAAAAAAAAAATTATGATTTAGTGAGAGTGGGGTGGTCCAAACACAAAAATTTAAGTTTGGAGTAGTAAAACCTATAGAGAGAAGTAGAAGTGATTTTCTTTTGGCCCAGACAGCTTCTACCAATATGGTCAATCTTTTCTCTTTCACTTCCTTGCTTTGTAGATGAGGCTTTTGCTTTTGCTTAATATAATCACTGAGAGAGCCTGTAGAGAGGATATTGGGTTTTATGGGGGGATTTGATGCAAAAGAAAAGATCTAAAATTGTGATTAAAAACCCTATATTAGGCATTTCTTCAAGCCAAGAATGAACCCACGAAATTTTATAGGATGGATTCTTGTTCTCTAACCGTTCTTTTTTTTGTGTTGGCATTTCTATGCAACTGTGAGTTGTAATCCTTGGTGGTAGAGACAGGAAACACATCCCCCTCTCTCTCTCTCTCTTTCTCTCTCTTCTCTTGTTTTCATTTTTTTCTTCTTTCGAGTCTTTGAGGGTAAATTTGTCATTTTTCATGGAAACAAAATGCACTACCAGGTAGGGGTGGCATTGGACCCGGACACGACCCAGGTCTCGACGTCCAGACTTGACATGAGTGTGAGTATAGGGTCTGATAATTGGACCCAACTGGTCGGTCCAGGTTCAAATATTGGACCCAATCACTATTCAGGTCTGGGTCCGGGTCTATGTGGACCCAACCCAAATAGTATTACTATATAAATAGTATTTAATATATAATATTTTAATAATATTTAATTATTATTTAGACACATATAATTATATATTTTTTGTTATAATACTTAAATAATACATGTATATATTTAACATAATATTTATTTACTTTTTGGGTCAAGTCCGGTCATGTCTGGGTCCAAACGGGTTTGAGTCCGAGTCCCATAATTTTCTTACGGGTTCAGCCGGACCCGACCCGACCCGACCCATTTCCACCCTTATGACCTGGGATGTTGAAGTGAAAAATTGAAACACTAAAAGTCTTGTTTCTTGGACAAAATATCTATTTTTTTTTCAGCCTTACATTTTGTATGGGTAATAATACTATGCCTTATAAATATGGAAAAAGTTTATATAAGGCTGATGGCGAACAATCAAACTAAGCCGCACCTCAAAAATTCACTAGAAGATTTTCAAATCTTGGAAATAGTGCATCTTAGAATGTATTATCTAAACCGTTAATTTTCAAGATTTTCAAATTTTCATAGATCTGCTTGATCTGTACTTTTTTTAAGCTTTAAATTTTGTAATTAGGGATGAAAATGAATTTCCATACCATTATAAATATTTTTTATACTGAAACATTTTTCAACACTATTTGAAAGAACGCCTTACTTTGATTGTTTAGGGCCTCGGCCCTATAAAAACTACACCCTATAAATATATTATGTTATGGTCCATGTTAGAAAAACAGGGCGATCTAATCGGTAACCGCCCAGTTAGATTGGAACCGGCCACTTGCTGGTTCCGGTTTTGGGCAGTTTTGGTGATCAACCGGTATTTTAAAAAAGCATAATTCAAAAAATATATATATAATCTCAAAAATAATGAATTTAGTTTGTAATGAACTTTTAAAATATTTTTTATATTATGGTAAATATTAAAAATTGTTTTGATCATTAATACTTATTTTATATTTTCTCATCTTTTTTAAAAAAATTAAAAAATACCCCTAGGCACAAATCAATTTTTTAAAATCCATTTTTTCATTAATTTTCAATTTCATTTGAATGTGTTTTGTTTTAATCATTCTTTATATGCTTTTAATAGTTTAGTAGATTTTTTTTGTATCTTTTTTATTTTGTCAACAATTTTTTAATTGCCCGGGACTTACCCGATTAGAACGGTTGAATCAGCCAATTTACCGGTTAGGACACTTGAACCGCTTTCGACCATGTCCAGTTAACCGTTCCGATTCGATTTTGCAAATATTAGTTATGGTGCATGGTAATGTTTAACATTCCATTTTGTCGAGTAGTCAAGATCTCTATGCCTATTAAGTCGGGTGCATAGATTATTAAGTGGAACTACTTTTATTGTTTTGCCATTTACCTTCTTTTCCCGTAAAGCCTCCCTTTCTCTCTTCCCCTTTCCCATCCTAACCAACCAGCAATTAAGGAAACCTATTATAGTTTCTTCAACTTACTTTGACAGAGAGTGTGTGGGGGAGAGAAATGGGTGGTAGGATTCCTAATCTTCTTCTTATGAGATATTCCTACATATTACAATAGCACATTGGAGACACCTTGATTCCGACCGAAAAAACTGTAGGAAAATCAAAATGCCCTGGAATAACTGCTGTTAGACCTGAACTGCCCAGAACCCAAAAAAAATGGTGCTCTAGCACCTAGTTCTCTTGGCAAAGTTTTTCATTGAGACCCAACCCTGAATTTGGAACTCAAGAAGACCCCTTATGAGCCGGAAATGGCTCCGTGACATAAAGGAATCCAAAATAGACAATCCCTAATAGAAGGGACTCAATCTAGAACCAACTACGCCAACGGTAGCACCAGCACTAGGATTGGTCTCGTCAAAGTTTCATGACTACTGTGGAATTAGTGTTGATGATAATCGTCACAATAACGTTTAATGGGCGGTGGCTTGAATCACCAAACTGGCATATCAACTAACACCTTGGAATGCAAACGTGGAAAACCATCATTTGCCCTCAATGACAGTAGCACTAGCATTAATGCTAATCTCAACAATGTTGATATCCAATTGGCTGAAATTGCCACTAATCGCCCGAAATTGGAATGTGCATATGGAAATGAAAAGAAACTATCATTACAATAACGATGGCTACACTGTAATCAATGTGGGCATCAGCCACCATAGTTCTCGATTGCCCAAAATCACCTCCCAATGTTAGACTTTAGGATGGCCAGATGGCAGCAAAAAGTAACCATCATTGCTTTAATGATGGTGTTATCCGTATCGACTTTAGTGATACTAGAGTTTAGCTAAATCTTAGCTAGAAGATACTGGTAATAGCACCAACGCTATTGTCCATATCGTCGCTCGGTTGACACACAACTGCCCAAAAATCACGTCAACCATAAAAGTAGAGATCGTGCCTTACTCAAGCCGTAATCATAATGAATCAACAGTACTAACATCGGCTTTGAGGAGACCAACAATGACGTTTGCAATGAACGACCTAGATTTATTCATAGACTCTAGATGGTGATTAAGAATGACATGTTTAAGGACCCGGACTTTTCTGGCGTATTGCAGTGCACCGGCAAGTCATCAGCACAAGACAGCTGGCGCGAGGGCACTTGTGAGAGCGCTGGTGGCTCAATGCACGATTAAGTGCGAGCAGGAGATTGCGTGCAGATGGGTGTGCGTTAAAGCATACGCGGGGGCAAGTATGTGTGAGTGTGAGAGCGCGGGTGTGAGTGAGTAGTAAGGTGCGGGTGAATAAATGCGCTGTTGAACGCAATGGGCGCTTGATGATGCGCAAATGGTTATGGCACGCTGGCGAGCGCGGATGGATATGGATGCGCGTTGTGAGCGAGGGTAGATGAGTTCATTGGTTGGGAGCGTGGGCGTTTGTGTGTGCTGTTAGGCGTGGTTGGTGTACATTAGTCTAGGGAGCTCCTTCTCTCTCTTGTTCTCTCCCTCTCCATGCATGTGTGCCATGTGGCACAAGCATGCCCCAGCTCATAATGATGATGTCTCTCATACTTGCTCCCTCTCTCTCCTCTTGTATGCTACTTGTCAATTGCATACTTCTATCACATGATGATGTCTCTCATGCTTGTCCTTCTCTCTCTCCTCATGCATGCCCTCTTGGATGCCATGTGACAATTGCATGTTGCCACCACTTAAGCTTACTTATACCCCATTCACACCCATCTATTGGATTTGCTCTCTCTCTCTCTCTTTACTCCCTGCTCCTTCTCACCCACATTCTCTCCCTTTTGCCTTAAGACTTTGAGCTTTGAAACCTTTCCCAGCCTTAAGCTTTTGAGCTTGAACCCATCCTTCGGAGCTTGTCATTTGGAGTGAAATCTGTGTGGAGCACTTTGGAGCTTCATTTAGTGTTGTAAGTGGATTTGGTTTCTATATTTTCATGTTTTAGATTGATGCGTATTTGCTTAACTTATCAAAGTATGAGATTTAAGTATGGGCGTGGATGCATGTTACTGAAATTTTGCTCGAGTGTACTCTGTTTTCTAGAACTGTGGCTCCGGTTTGAGAAATTGTTTGAGTATCCTATATATCTCCTTAGATCATGAAATTTTTTAAAAATGTAGCTCATTGAGTCTATTTTATCATGGAACAGACCTGTTGTTAATATCCTTTTTGGTTTAAAAGTTATTTACCATTTTCTGAAGCATGTGAGATTTGTGAAATGAAATTTTAGGGATTTAATGTATTTTTGTGTAGAGCTTTTTAATAACCAAAACATATCAGAATGAGGTCAAACTATTTTTAAATGATAGGTAAATGAGTCTATTTTGAAAATAGTTCTGGAATCATAATAAAATTCCCTGTGGTTTGAAAGTTATGCATGTTTTCCTCTAAGTATACTATCTTGGATTTCTTGTTGTTGTGAAAACAGGAATTTTGTTCAAGAACATCAAATAGTTTGGCAAACTTCCCAAAATTTGGGGTTACCCCCTTCATGAAAGTTGTGTTTTCATGAGTCTATATTGTTATAGAAGTACTCTCAGGTCTAAATGATATTTTTATCTCATGATATACCTTAATAAGTGGACCACGTTCACTGTGAAAAATCAAAAAAATAATCAGAAGATGTCTTTTGAGCTAATGAGCCTGATGATATGTAGTATGATTTGGACATATTGTTGTTTCATATGAACCTGTCTTTGTTATGATATGTGTGCATGAAAGCATGCTCTATTATGAAATGTTATATTTTCATTTCATAATAGAGTATGCTCTATTATGAAATGAAAGTGTGCTCTGTTATTATATGAATGCATGCAGTAAGACATGCTCAGCTATGTTGTGAATGCATGTAGTAAGACATGCTTTGTTGTGATATGAATGCATGATAATGAGATATACTCTATTATGATATGAATGTATGTAGTAAGACATGCTCTGTTATGCTATGAATGCATGTAGTGAGACAAACTCTGTTATGATATGTGTACATGTTATGATACATGTTTTTTTGTGATATGTGTGTATGATTTTGAGACATGCTATGTGATAAAGGCCCATGTGGTCAGTGATATGTGTGCATGATTTTGAGATATGCTTAATGCTATGTGATAAGACCTGTGTGGTCAGCTATGTGATAAGCGCTTTGTGATTGATTGGCATGCTTTGAGCGTATTGCATGACCATACTGTGATATATGATTAATTGACATTCTTTGAGTGTATTGCATGACTATACTGTGATATGTAATTGATTTGCATGCTTTGAGCGTATTGCATTACTATACTGTGATATGTGATTGATTGGCATGCTTTGAGCGTATTGTATGACCATATTATGATATGTTATTGATCAGCATTCTTTGAGTGTATTGCATTGCCTGACTTGCGATCTCTCTGACTCACCCAATGATAGGACGGGAGTCGGGGTAGATGATCTTTGGGTGGTCGCTCTCCCATTCATAGTGATTGGCACTTAGAAGGTATAATACTTCTAGCTAAGGTGGCATAAAGGTTAGTGTCTTACAAGGCCATCGCCTATCAAAAGCCACAAAGCATGCTGGGGACTGTGTGTGTGTATAAAAATATTACGAAATGGATTCCCCCATTTGTCATTGTTTTCTCTCCTGAGTGATGGTAGAAGTTCTAAGCAATGGGATTGGCCTGACGGATAGGGATTCTATTTCGGGAATAAGCGAATTAGGGAGTGAGTTAGTTGGTAATTGTTAATGTTTACCTTCAAATATTGATTTGCTAAGATTTGTATGGTTGAATGATTTGATTGACCTCTACTTCCTATCATATATGATTGATCTGATTTGTTATTGCTTTACTATGAATCATGCATAGCACACTGATAGATATGATTATGATGCACGACTCATGTTTTATAAGAATGACATAGCACCTTGAGCATTGTTGTGAGATGATATTCATAGGCAGGAAAGCATGGCACCATGGTCTACTTATTGGGCTTTATAGCTCACCCTTTTAACTTTCCTCTATGTAGAGTGATAGCCGCGGGTTGTGGACGGGCGGTTTGGTAATCGCGACTGGATGTTAGAGCCCCATACTTCTTGTGGAAGCCTCTTTTCAATTGTATGTAATAGATGATATTTTGGCTATATAGTCCACTTGTATTAAAACTATGTATTTATGTTGGGTCTTTGGTGCCTTGGACTCTCTTGTAATATTTTGGATCTACCTTATGAAATTTTGGGACTTGGATTGCCCAGTATATTTGTGGATTGTGTGCTTTGTGTTTTGTTAGTTTGGTTTTTATTTTGTGGTTGGCTTTGATTTTCATCTTTTCAAAACGTTGAGCGCACTCCCATATGAGTGGCATTTGTTACATGTGGTAGCGATCCCGCACCCTATCGTCCTCCCACGTGTGCAGTAAGGGGTAGGGGGTGGGGCTGTGACAACATGTTTATAAATAGGGGTCGAATCCCCTCATTTTGAGGATCAAACATAGAACTTTATGCCCAGATTCTGCCAAACTGGATCCAGACCCTACCTAAATTCGCATTAACCCTAGACCCTTAGGCCAAGACGCTGACTTAACTCGACCTGACCTCAAGATCTTGCATATGCGGACCCTCTAGCCCTACTAATATAGTTCTGCCACATTTGACGAATCCCCATAAGGCTGGGGAAAATCGTGCTTATACTAGTTCTGATAGCGACACCGACTCCAAGTGTTGGACATGGGGGCCCAGACTCAGGTACGCCCCATTTTCTTTCTCATTTACTTATTTTTTATATTTCTAAAACTTTTCTAAATTTCTCCCCCATTTTTTACCTCGATTTCTAAAACCTTTTACGAAAGTTCTAACATTGTTAGGAGCCAGCACTACCAAAGATTCGAACGAGATCGGTCTTGTGGCATGTCTCTTGCCTGAATTGTAATTTTACATGGCTCATTTCCCTACCAAACCCCCTCTGATGAGTTTATGCCCGAAAACCAGCCGGGAACCACGTTCCCTGCTAAAAAATTTAGTATAAACACGCATAGGGATCGAAGAACTTGTAGAGAGAAAAAGTGAAGAATACATTATTTTAGCACCCTGACAATGCCAGTACAATGGCTCTTCTTCCTCTTACTCTACAAATGATGAATGAAATCCACGAGAATCTATGCAATAACAACCTCATCATCCATACATAAAGAATTAGAACCCCATTTCTATGATGGTGGTTTTCATCAAAGGCAAGAAGGAACGGCCCCAAACTAGAGAGAGAGAGATAGAGTGAGAGAGAGTGTGTGTGAGTAGAGCATGTATTGGTTTCAAAGAAAGATAAAAGAGATCACCCATCATAAGAGAGAGAATGAATGAGATTGAGGTCAAGGTGGTAGCACCACCAGTAACTAAACTACCCGTATTGATTTTCATTTTTACCAATGCTAACTCCATTCAAAAACTACTAATGATTTAAAAAATTACTCGTCCACTACCAATAGTTAACATTCAAAAGTGAGAGAGAGATGGAAAAAGTGCCAGGCTAGAGAGAGAGGAGCTTTAGGGGGTCTTGCTACTGCTTTAAGACCTGAAGGAAATCCATGGCCCCAATGTGGGTTGTCATCATGTGTTTATATTTGGACGGTGTAAAATTTGATGTG